TGTGGGGAGGGAGCTAGAGCGAGGCCCAGCCTCACCCCATCTTTTCAGACTCTCCCCACGTTAGCACCACAGGCACTGGGACACCGCGCCTTTGTGGCGTGGACTGGACTCTCGTTTCCTATCAGCTTCTGATTCCATTAGGAAGAAACCCACCCCAGTTTGCCCTGGGGCTTTGGGCTCCATTTGGAGAGCTCTATTCCCAGTACCTTTCCCCCTCTACTTTCAGCCTCTGTCACAGCCATAATCCGCAGCAAATGGATTTCCTGACCCTTGGGACAGAGCCTCCTTCCCTAGACTTGGTGGCTCCTGGGAGGGCGAAGCCATCAGCACTTCTCCAGCTGCTGGGCTCTGGCCCCTGGACCACCGAAACCTGTAATAAGATCACTCTCCCAGCCAGTTACAGCACGCACGTGGTTCAGAGTGGCCCCTTGTGGCTGGGAGGAGAGAATTGACTAAAGTGGGGTCACAGCCTTCAGAGCCCAGCCTCCCACAAAACCACACAGTGAATTAGAACTCAGAGAGAGCCAGACTTCCAGCTCTGGATGTTAGCCATTAGTCAGATTTGGCTACAGTTCATAGTGGGAGTCAACAGGGGTGTGTGGCCTTGGGGAAGAAATAAGGAACCAGTTAGAAAGAGAAGGGAGGAATTCGAGTAGAAATTAAAAGAAAATTGAATAGGCGTGTGTGAAATGCTTAAAGCCTACGTTCTATGACAATCTAAGGGTTTATGTTTTCTAATGAGGGACCCCAGGGTTTGGGGTATAATGAGAGTAACCTTCGCTGAGAGGTCTTTACAGTCCAGGGCTCTGTGGCAGAAGGAAGGAGGGAGTGGTCAGGCACTGAGAGTTTAATTCAGGGAGGAAAGAGTCTCTCTGAATTTGCACCACGTTTCCTAATTAATTTCTTTCACTATGTTACCTTCACTATGTTACCTTCACTATGACGCCCATGAGAGGGTGACTTGTGGTAGGGCCTGAGCTACTGATTTCTCCAACCCTCTGGCTGAGTAAAACCAGTAGGTTTTCTGGGGGTGCCTTCTGGGTTCCTGGAGGAGAGGCAAAGGGGCTTTATCTCCTTGAGTGAATCACATTTCCCCCAAACTGGGGCTTGGTTGTTACATAGGAACAACAAGGGAGACTTTGGTAATGTTTTGTCTCTTAAGCTGGTGTGAGTTCACAAGCATGTTTAATATATGCATTACATAGAGCAATTTAAGATAAAATATTTAATAGACATTAATTAATAATTAGGGAGTTACTCAGTGGTCTCAGTTCCTTTCCACTTCTGAAAATCTGGGAGGTACACTCTATTGAGAACTTTGCCCAAGGCCATTGACGTAATGGCCCAGGTAAGATGAAGGATGTCACATGGGGAAGAGCTCTACTGGGAACAGACCTGGCTTTGAGTCCTAGTGCTGTGACAACCGTAGGTGAGTTACTCAAGTAAGTCCTCATTGACACTATGAGGACAGTATCTATCCAATATAGGAAGTCATGAATATTGATCAAGCATCTACGACAGGTGCTTGACATATAGCAAATACTCAGCAATCACAGTTATTAGTATAGATGCCACTGATGGAAAGTACTGACATTGAATCTCCAGTGCTATATGTTTTCAAGTAGTTAGGGAAAACTCTTCTGCTGAGGCAGAAATTAAGCTTTCAGGGGTGAAGTAAGATTGAGCTTGATACATACCAAACAATTCTATTCAGGCAAATCCAAAGTGATTGCTGTTGTCAAGGAGCTCAGAATCCAGTGGGGAAGAGAGACACATAAGCAGAGCAGCTCACAGAGGTTATTATTTATTACCTAAGCCCATACAGCTAGTAACACAGAACTGGTGTTCCCAGAGTTGGCATTACCTGGCAGCTAAGTCCACATCCTTCCTCTATTAGTACACTAAGGCTCCCAGGAAAAGTGAGCCACCAAAGAACACCCAGACGAAGGGCCGGGATCGTTTATTCAGCAGCAGCCTAAGTCTTAGAAAGCCTGGAGTAAGCTTCCTCCGCCTTCTAGCCATCCACTGCACACTTTCTTAACACCTCGCTCTTCTGAACACTAGCCAATGCCTCACTCACCCCTTTGCAACTTAGCACGTGGTAGGTAATATTTCTGTGCTTAAATCTGTATTTCATGCCCAATCCCAACCTAGTTTACCAGAGTTTTTAGCCCAGAGCTTTTGGATAGGGTTCAAAGGACTCATTAGCCACATCACTGTAACCACATGTCAGTGTACGCCTGCACATGAGGACCTTGAAGTGAAGATTCTTGTCACCTACCTCTTCCTATTCCTGGTACTCAGCCAGGTTACCCTGCAGGTTGTAGATGTGCAGATTGTGGGGAAACAAGGCACTTCCTGCTTCCTAGGTACAAACTAGTAACTATGGGAAGGTTCAAGGGGTGGTTGGTGGACAAGGAGTGCAAAGTGGTGCAGGGCAACTTTGTTCTGTAAAATTGGGGACTGTGGGTTCAGGGGATTCCATTGTTACTTCTCCTTTGAAGTGTTTCCTGAGTCTGTGCTTCCCTCCTCCGTGCTTTTCATGATCGCCTGAAGGGGAGCCAGAGAGAGACCTCCCTGAGAGCCATCAAAAGCAAGAGCAGGAACAGAGTGCATGAGGGAGGGCCTGGGGGAACCCCATGGAATCAGATGGGGAGAGCAAGAGGTGTGCACCCATGGAAGAGAGGGGAGGCCTGGACAGGCTGGGGAGGGGTTCCTGAGGCAGGAGGTCTCAGGAAGGGAGCTGGAGTGTGAGGCTGGGGGGGACAGGGGCGCGATGGCGGTCAGGCCAGGATGTGCAAGCAGGGGAGAGAGCTAGTGGGGGTCCAGGAGGAGGCCTGGGAAAGAGGAGAGTGAGAACACACGTGTGCAAAGGCGGCCAGAGCCAAAGCACAGTGGAGGAGGGGGACAGCCAGGAGTGTGCGCCAGGGAGCCCGCTGTGAGCACAGTGGTGAAAGGGGGTGAGCGTGAGTGCAGCTGGAGAGAGGCCAAGAACTAGGCTGCAGCCACAAAATGGGAAGACCACCACTGGGACAGAAAAGGCAGAGGGGGCGGGGGAGCAGAAGCCCAGAATGAGAGGGAGAAGAGAGGGTGCGCTTGGCAGTGGGTGAAGGGAGAGTCCAGGAGCTGTGGTCGGAGCCGCCCCTGCATGGGGAGCCCTGCTGTTTCTGCCTGCGTGGCTTTTCCATAAAGGAGTGCCAGACTCTGGGGGACAGCGTCATGTTTTATTTCTCAGTGTCCAGGCTGTAGTGGACCCTGTGCTTAGTTTGCTGCTACCCTGAATCCCCATTTTATTTAGCTTTAAAGATACATTTATTTATGCATACAGAACTGGGGTACAGGCCAGAGGTGCAGGGGCATTGAGAGGCTCCACCAGAGACTGAGTGGGGAGCAGAACAGGCAGATAGACTGAAGTACTCTGCTGAGGGAGCAGAGGGTGGGTCAGGAGAGGTCTGCCGCGCCATGTGGGTCACTTCTGGGGCCAGTGGCTTCGGAGAGCTTCATAATGCGTTGTTTTACCCCATTGCACCACCAGGGAGAGCCCCCATTTTATTTTTATGAGAATTTCAACTGAGGTTTCCTAGGGAGAGGTGGAAAGCAAGAACCAAACCAATTTCAGGGTACACCATGGGCAAGCAAGCCCCCCTGAGGTGCACCTTGGGGGAGGAGGGGTGCCCACCCCCACTGGGATCGCCACTTGTCCTTACCTCCATCTGCCTTTCAGTCTTTACCCACACTTACTTCAGCCCCAGGTGAAGCCCACCCAGTCTGAAGATAGCCTGAGGGGTGTTAACAGCCAGTCTGAGCAGCATTAGGAAGATGATAAGACATCACTGATTAGTTTAGTTTTTTGCTCGATTAGTATAAAAAAGCTCATTTTCTTCATTGAGTCAATGGATATAATCTGCAAGCAGAGAATGTGAATGTCTATGATGGGATGGCAAAAAAAAAAGTTGTATTAAATGGGTAGGAGAAAAGCTTACATGCATATGTAGGTGAGGTTTTAGGACTAGCATGACAGGAGAAAGAGGACCCTGAGCCCGGATGTGGGCATGCCTTTCCCACTCCTCCCCCCCCTCCTCCCCGCCTCCTCCCTTCCAGTCTTATCCCTCCCTGCTACTCCTCCTTCCCACCCCCTCTCCATCCCCCCAACACATTGCTGTCCAGGTCTTAATCCCCGCTCATGGGGTGGCCCGAAGGAATTCCTAGCAGCCTTAATGACCGGGAAAGGTCCCAGTTCTGTGCTGCAGGAGCTGGACAGTGAGAGCCAGGCTGGATTTTAATAAGTCCAGCAGTGGGGGTCAGTTGGTGAGAGCTTGACACTCTGCGAAGCATCACTGTCTTGTTCTGTCCTCCCGACAGCCCATGCTCTTTCACCTGACAGATTAAGAGACAGAAGGTTAGAGAAGTGTGACCTGCCAAGCTTTCCCAGCCAGGAAGTGGCAGCACTAGGGCACAAATCCAAGTCTTTCTGACTCCAAAACTTGGGATTTTCACCAACCACAGATCAGAGGGCGCTCAGGAAGTCCTTCATAAAGAGAAGAGACACAGCAAGCACATGCAAAGCTCTCTGGCTTCGAGTCTGGAAACAAAACAAACGTGTCCGTTTGTTTTCTTTATTTGCATCTTTCTCTCAGTCTATTCGCGCCAGATTTTTTAAGCCCATTTCTCTGCCCAAGTGTATAAATATAGGTAAATGATGCATTCTATGGTGTTCAGCTTCTCCAGCATAAAGACGTAGAAGTTGAAGGGTAGAGCTCTTCTGGGCAGACCACTAGGGAAAGGCCTCCCTGTCGCCTCTGCCGGAACAAGCAGGTCATAGACTTTAGCATCAGTCCGGTAGGATCCCAGGTCTTGCCGCGTGACTGACCCACGCCTGGCCCCGCCAGGCTCCCGGCAGGCCCGTCTCTGGCCTGTTTTACACGGGTTGCGCCACCAGATGACAGAGAGCTGAGGCATCTGCACGCGCCCACAGTAAGTGTCTGCCTTTTCCCTCCCAGCACCCGCCTGGCCTTCCACCATCTGCGTGCCCTGACAGTGCCATCCCACAGGCCATGGAGAATGAGCTGCCTGTCCCACCTACATCTAGCAGTGCCAGTGTCTCCAGCAATAGCAGCGGGGTTGGTAGCGGCGGCAGCTGCAGCAACAGCAACAGCAGTGTGGGGAGCAGCCGCGCCCCGGGCCCCCAGATCTCTGTGTACAGCGGCATTCCTGACCGGCAGACGGTGCAGGTAAGCTTCCCATGGGCAACCCTGCGTCTCTGTGGCTTTCTGCCGCCTTCCCTAAAGCTGCTGTCCATGGAGGGCCCTCCGTGAGACCCTCCGGATTAGGCGGCCAGCACGACCCTCTGCTACGTCCCGCCAGGTGTGGGGAGCTGGCTTCCCCCACCCCCGGAAGGATGGTTATTAGGTGCAGCTCTGTAAGCAGGAAACCACACCAAGCCAGAGAGACAGGCTGGAGGCTTGCTTGTTGGGTGGGAGCAGCCTGTGGCCAGGGCTCCCCCAAGCTAAGCGTAGGAGTGGGGCAAGGCTCACTAGTGCCCAGGCCGGGCACAGTGGAAGAGATGGCAGAGCGTGGCCAGGTGAGGAGAGAGGAGCACCTCTGAGGCCCGAGGGCTGGCGAGGCCTTTGCTTTGCTTTGGTGCCAGGGTGGTGGGGAAGCATTGCTGGGCTGAGCGTGAAGAGTGGGGGGAGATAACAAGGAGCCTTTGTCATCCCCGAGATTCACCTGCCAGCCCCTCTGGGAGAGGGGAGGGCAGCGAGCCCAGGGAGTGGTGCTCAGAGGGAGAGGGAGGAGGGAGAGATGGCCGCAGCGCTGCGGCACTGGCCCCTCTGCGACGCCCAGCGTGCTCTTCCAGGGACTGATGCGACTCCCGGGCAGCAGGGGCAGAGCCCAAGCAGTGTGCATCCTGCCCCGAGGCTGCAGCCCAGGGATGAGTTTTCCTCTGGCCGCTGCTGCAGAGCTGGAACAGGCCCTGCTTCCGAAAACTCGCCTCTCTTCCCCTGTCTCCTCCTCTGATCTGTTGAGCTGCGGCTCCCTCTGTGGTGGTCTCCCATGTCCCTCCCTCTGGCTCTGAGGCTGAGGAGTGGCAGGGGGAAGGGAGCTGGGGGGGCCTGGGGCTCTCAGAGTCCTGACTCCCGCCCCCCGCAGGGTGGGCTGGCTGGGGCGAGGGGCGCTGCTGCTTTGCCTGTCCCGCGGAGGCCCCAGGAGCAAGCTGCAGGCCAGACTGGGGGCGCACAGAGCTCCGCGCAGGGTTGTCTCCCCGCGGGAGAGGGCTCGGTCGTGGTGGTGGACAGAGCAGGCGGCTGGGGAGAGGGTGGCGCAGGCGGACAGCCCCTCTCCCCGTGGCCTCAGGTGATCCAGCAGGCCCTGCAGCGGCAGCCCAGCACGGCGGCACAGTACCTGCAGCAGATGTACGCGGCCCAGCAGCAGCACCTCATGCTGCAGACCGCTGCGCTGCAGCAGCAGCACCTGAGCAGCGCCCAGCTCCAGAGCCTGGCGGCCGTGCAGCAGGTGAGCCGGAGCAGGCCGCCGGGGGCGGGCGGGCGGGCACACGCTCAGAGCCCCACAGAACCCTGGCGGGAGGTGCACCCACCATCTGTCTCTTGGAGGCTCTGGTTACGCCCCTCGCCCAAAGCCGCCAGCGGGCCGGGAAGCCAGGGCCCGGTCACCAGAGAAGGCTGACACAGCCCGCCCAGTCTGGTGTTTGTAACCGAAGATGCGTCCGTTCCTTCAGCAAACTGTTAGGCACCTCTGTACCCCAGAGTGGGCGCCCCGTGGACCCTGTCTCTTTGGACTTGCAGCGAGGCCGGTCGGGGGGGACTAGCTGCCAGACCCACGGTGGCGCAGACTGGCTGATGAGAAGATGGGCGGGGGGAGGGCAGGCTGGGCACCCCAAACACTGCACAGCTAGGGGCTGGGGAGGGGGCGAACCAGACATGATAGCGTGTGGTGGGACGGGGTGCTGACAAGAGCCAGCAACAGTCCCTGTCTAGAAGTTCCCATTCGGTATGATGGGTCGCTTATTCCTAGGGCCTGCGAATGCTCAAAAGTTATTTCCATGTGAGTTAATAGCGACAGTGTTCTCTGTCCTCAAAAGAAATCAGATAGCAGGAGAGACCCGAACTTGTAGATGCTTGGCCTGGACGGGGCCTCACTTTATATTCAAGGGAAACTGAGGCATTGGCCTGCGGGCACGCAGGTGAGGCAGAGTGGGGGTTTGACTCCAGGGGAGTTGACCCTCCACAGCCGTCCAGTAGTGCTTCCCTTGGGGGGGGGGGCAGGGAAGTCCCTGGGGGGCTCTGGGGCTGTAGTAACAAGAGTTTCTGTTCTAGGCAAGCCTGGTGGCCAACAGACAAGGGAGCGCCTCAGGCGGCAGTGTGTCTGCGCAGACCCCAGCCCCGGCGACCTCGGTGAGAGGCGGGCGCAGGCAGAGCTTCTTCCCTGCCCAGAATGCTCATGGCGGCGAGTCTTCACCGCATAGAATGGTGGCAGGAATCTAGCCCTCTTGCCCTTCACTTTAATAACCCCAGTGTCGAGGCTTTCTGTTTCTCCCTGCAGCTTTGCACATAGGTCAAAGATGGGGCAGTGCTAGTGGCCTAGAGGAAGCTGAAGCCACCAGGGACAGAGGGGGGCTGAGGGGCTCAGAGTTAAGGGAACGCCCTATCTCTCACCGCCTGTCTCTCAGATCAACCTGGCGGCCTCCCCTGCAGCAGCACAGCTCATCAACCGGGCCCAGAGCGTCAACTCAGCCACGGCCTCAGGCATCGCCCAGCAGGCTGTGCTCTTGGGCAACGCCTCGTCCCCAGCCCTGACTGCAAGCCAAGCCCAGATGTACCTGAGGGCACAGATGGTGAGTCCCCAGCCTGGGCTGTGCTCTGCTCCGGAGGACAGAGGCAGAGGAGCAGGAGCTGGAGGCCGGGGGGGCGGGACCTGGAGAAGAGTGGGGGAGGCTGCGAGGCTTAGTGGGAAGGTGAATGCTCCCTAACTCAAGGACAGGCGGGATTCCAGGCTGAAATAGAGAAAGATGCCGACGCCCCCTTTCCTCCCTAGTCGTCCCTTCTCATCAGAAACCTCTCCCCAAAATGGACTGGAGAAGTAGATACAGGGGCCTGTGCCCAGATGGCCAGCATACTCGGAGACCCAGGACAGGGAGATGCACAGGCCCCTCACACCGGGAACGGGCTCCCGCGGCCATGGCCGGTGTGGAAACTGCCCACCGCTAGCTCAGAGGCCGGTACGGCTGACCAGGGGTCAGGTGGCAGCCAGCCGCAGGACTGTTGCTGCCCGGCGCCTCCCATTGCTGGCCCCCAGTCTAAATATGGCACCCCGTCACCCGTGAACAGTGGTTGTGGGCCACACGTGCCCTGCACCTGCCCGTGAGGTGCATGCCCTGGGGGACCCGGCAGGCTCCTGGGTCTCGAGGAACTGAGGAGACCTGGAGCACAGCAGCCCGCCCCAGCAGACAGTAGCCCGCAGCCCTGCCCTGAGCCAGGTCCTCGTGGCCCCGCAGCTCCCGGACACTGTCCTGAAGACAGCACGGCCCCCCTGCTCCTGTGGCCACAGCTGCGCACAGGCATCTGGACTTGCTCCAGCCCCCGTCTCGCCTCCCATCTCCTGTTGGAGGTGTGACCCCATTGCCCGGGCCTGTCCTCTCAGACCACAGGAGGCCACAGACCACTCCTCTAGGGGCCGACAGCCCCAGGGAACCTCCAACCTGCCTCCATCCTGGGGTTCTCATTCCCTTGTGGACCCAGCTGTCCCTCCTGGAATCCGAAAGCACATCTGCCTCCTCCCTGACCAGGGCCTACAGGCCAGAGTTGCAGTTGGGGAACGTGGGTTCTGGAGCCACCTGCTGCCAGGCGCTAAGCTCGGCTGGCGGGGGGTGAGGGTCACACGGACACCCGCAAGGAGGGCAGCTGGGAGTCTCCGGAATCCTGCACGAGGCAACCTGCTTCCCTGTGACTGGGGCCTCTGTGTAACCCCCCAACTAAACTCGGCTAGCAGTGACCAAAAGACATGTCGCCTGACCTCTTCTGGCAGAGTCCTGGTCTGCCCCAGCTGGCTCTGGCTCAGGTTGGACCTGCCCGATGTTCTCAGGCAGCCATCCCCGCCAGGGTCCCTGCGCCCTAGGATACTGGAGTGGCTTCTGGGGGTCCAGGGACATTGGTCCCCTCTAGGATGAGCTCCTCACGAAGCATCTGCAGGGAACCAGTTTGGATGCAGCTGCCGCCCCCTGGGGTCGCCCCCCCCCCCCCGGCCAGGGCAGGCACTGCAAGCAGGTGGCAGTGCCCGGCGCGCCCTTCCTGCCTGGCGCCCAGTTTCCCCATATCTGCCCCCTGCTGTGGCTGAGCCCACACTGGGCAGGTAAAAGGCGCCTCGTTTCCTGTGATTCCAGGCCCAGCCAGGTAACCTGGTGCAGGTAGCTAGGAGCCTAGGCGGCACTGTTCCTTTGTCCCCTCAGCTCATCTTCACGCCCACGGCCACCGTCGCTACCGTGCAGCCTGAGCTCGGCACTGGCTCCCCCGCCCGGCCCCCCACCCCCGCCCAGGTGAGGATCCCATGCTTGTGGGAGGGCAGGGGGGTGGGCGCCCTGCAGAGGGGGACTGACACTGGGTGTGGGCACAAGCCCTGGAGGACCCTGGAGCCCTTGCAAAGGTTGGGCTCTTGTAGGAAAGCAAGGGGGAGACTGGGCACCCTGATGCCTCCAGACCAGCTCCTCAACCACCGCCCCCCACCCATGAAGCGCAGCCTCTCTTGACTCTGTTTTGTTCCCTCAGGCCTGGGTTAGGAGCAGCGTGCTGAGGCGTGAGTGCCAGTCATGGGGGGTCGCTACTTCCTTGCTACCTTCCTTGCTGCCCTCCCCACCCTTAAGTTCTGTAGTAGTTTGGCCTTGTACATGGAAAAACCCACTCTGGTTAGGCATGAAAAGTGGCATGGAAGAGGGAGCAGAGATGAGTCCTAGGCCCCTGCCTGCTGCTGAGAACACAGAGGTGCGCTATAGTGACTGTAAAGACTCTGTGGGCAGTGGGGGAGAGGAACAACCTCCACCTGCCTGCGGGCAGCTACAGAACCAGGATCTGCCGGAGATCAGATCCTCAGATGTGAGTCTGCACTGCCCCTGTGTGTCCAGCAGGGGGCGCCAGGGACCGGTTGAATCCTGTGGAAGCCTCACTCTGAAGACAAAATAATCCTTTCTCTGGTGGCCTTGCTGGTCAACTGACTTACCCTTTGCCCTGGCCATTTCCGGGGTGGCAGACCCATGCCCTGTGCCCATGCCCCTCTGTAACTGGGAGCTCTTCCTAAGTGGTGCGCTTCCCAGCCAGAGAGTCTGGGGAGGAGGGATGTTAACCGGGTGCCTGGGCCTTCATCCGTTCTCAGACTCCACTTTCTTCTCCTAATGAATGAAATACTAGCTCTCTTTCTTGTCCCTTTTAGAAATCCTGCCTGCTCCTGCTTCCTTTTTCAGCCCTTAACTCATTCTCTATTTCTCCCTGATGTTACAACCTCCTGTCCTGTTCAGCCATTCCTGGCTCCATCCTTAACTCTTTCCCTGCTTAATTGTGTGTGGGGTGGCACCTGCCTGCATTCTCTGGACTCCCATAGACCCCTCTTTTCCAGGTACAGAACTTGACCCTCCGAACACAGCAGACACCAGCGGCAGCAGCCTCGGGCCCTCCCCCTACTCAGCCTGTCCTGCCCAGCTTGGCCCTGAAACCCACGCCGGGCACTAGCCAGCCTCTGCCTGCCCCGTCACAGGGCAGAAACACTGCTCAGGGTTCCCCCGCAGGTGCCAAGCCTGGCATGACCGACAGTGTGACGGAGCCACTCAAGAAAGGAGAGAGCAGCAGCAGTGTGCCAGGGAGCGTGGAGGGCCGGGCTGGGCTCAGCCGGATGGTGCCGGCCGTGGCCGCCCACCCCCTCATCGCACCAGGTAAGGGCTCCAGGAGGGGACGCTCGCGAGCTCTCCTTTGCCCACCAGCCCGTGTGTGTCTCTGCGTCTTCCAGTCTTGAGATGTTCATCAGCTCCTGCTTCAGTCCAGTGGGCACAGTGTGGCCCTGAGCACCTGGTCACAGCTCCCTGCCTCGGGCGAGGGCAGGCTGGCCACAGCACTAAGGAAGTTCTCTGAGTCCACGAAAGCACCGGTGCTGCCAGAGGCTTGTAAGGCCACGGGGTCGGGGGAGTGGGACATGGCGACACGTTGCCCAGTGCTGGCTAGTTACATTGCCGGTCCCGGGTGTGCCGAGATCAATAAGGCTCGGGCCCTGCCCTCGAGGCCTCGGGAGCCGCAAGTACGGTGTGGCGAGTGTGATGACGGTGCCATGATAAACGTGGGCTCTGAGCCTGCAGGAGTGCAGAGGCGCTCTCTAGCCCAGGGGAGCACAGCCGGGAAAGGCTTGTCCATGCAGGTGGCACGTGAGGAAACCTAGTAGATTAAAAAAAAATTATCGAGCAGATTCCTAGCAAAGCAAGTTCTGTGAAGCAGATGAATCAGTGCTGCCTGGGGCCTGACGCCTTTTCCTGCTGCTGAGAGCCTCTCGGCACTGCCTGTTGTAACCCATCTTTAACGAGACCTTCAGCCAGGAGCTCCAGAAGCCAGGCCTGCCGACCTGAACAACACCAAGCTGTTCTGCCACAGCGGTAAACTCAGTGGGACCACAGGGCTCTGCAGAAAAGACAGTCACCCTAATCACCCCCTCTCCTCCCGCCCAGACAGCCAAAGCCATCCCAGCCAGTCCACCACCCAGTCTACCCTGAAGTTTTCTCCCCTTTGAGAACCTAGATATACATGGGACTAGGTTAGCCCAGATATCCAAATAAGATTCGCCACCTAAAGAAGTAGGCAGTCAAGGAGGGAGCCAGACACACATCAGAAAGTCCACTGCGTGCACTACATTCTGCTCTAAGAGTAAGTGCGAGGTACACGTGGCCACAGATGGTGGCCCAGGGCCAGGCAGGGTGGGTCACAGAAGTGGTCAGCATGAGTCAGAGGAAGTGGGCAGTGAATCTCGAAGCATGAGTGGTTTCCCCAGTGACAAGTCAGGGGAGGTCTTGAGACAAGTCAGGGGTTGGGACAGCCAGCGGGAAAGGAGCCGAGCTAAAGTCATTTACTCACCATTTGGGGGTTTCAAGGACAAAGGCTGGTCTCTGTTCTGCTGGGCACTACCGAGCTGAGAGGCGCCGCCCTGTGGGGCCTCACTGCCCGTGCTTCTAGATGTTTCTCCTCTTGGACACTGCCCTCTCCAAAATTTAGTCCAGCCTCTTCCTCTTACGGAAAAGAAAAGTGAGTCTCAGAAGGTTAAAGACTGAGGGTTCTTACATTGAGCTGACTAGTGTACAAACCCCAAATTAGCATTTCTTCCTCCTTCTCTTTCAACCTTATAAACCCTGGAGCAGGGTCAGGGCTTCAGGGCTCCTTGAGACACAAGGCCAGCCCAGCCCAAAAGCTAACCTCTCCCTCCAACTAAGACAGCCCCCCCAGATTCCAGAAGCCCTTCAGAGCGAGTCCAGTTCTCAGACTCTTCCTAACGCTGCTAAGCTACTCTGGCGTCTTGAGAAGCCCGACAGAAAGGGGACCAGCACTGAGCACACATCTGTTGCCGCCCTGATAGCAGACGGGGCATATTCATGCATGTCGGGCCACAAAGGGAATCCACACCCCTCTGGGTCCGTCTAGGCTGGCAAGTAACCACACGTGTGTCAGGCTGATTGACAAGAGCCTTGGAGCAGTTTTGTTAAAGCACGTGGCCTCCTGTGGACGTGGAGGGAGGGGTGCAGGCGCTGAGTGGCTCCCATGTGGCTGCAGACTCCAGCCTAAATGGCTCTGCTAAGACAGGTTCGGGGTCGGTCATTTGCTGGTGAAAACGAAGTGTTTCTGCCTCTTGCTGGGGTCTTGTGGACTAGACCCCGACAGAGAGAAGTTTAGACAGAACATCAGAAACACGCAGCCTGCAGAGCCCCTCCCGTGAAGCAGACGCCTTGCCGGAGACGTGTGGGGGTGGGGGAGCTTTTGCTCCCCAAAGTGCACAATGCTTTTTTCATCTTTGAAAGAACCCTGCAAAGTAGGTATTTATATCCCCTTTACAGGTGAGAAAACTGAAGCTCAGGAAGGTTGCCCAGTGACTTACTACCTGTGTCCCTCAAGGCCACGTAAGTCATAGGGACACTCGGGCCTGATTCCATGTCTGCTGAGTCAGCAAGAACCGCCCCCCCCCCACACCCCGGCAATCACAGGAATGGGGGTTGTCCTAGGCTTTTCCTATTCCTGCCCCAAAGCTGAAAGAGCCTGCTAGTTCTGGGGTTTATGGAGTCCAGTGGGGGGCGCTCCTCTGCTGAGCCTGGGAAGGTGAGTGGGGGCTGGAGGGGTGGGGTGACAAACCCAGGCCTGGGCCCCAGGTGCAGGACAGAGCCCCTGGCCTGCCGGGACTTGCCGCCCAGCGGCTCTGAGCCAGTCCAGGCCACAAAGGCCCTCAGCAGGCTTTGCTGCACCCCTGCCCCCACTGCGCCCCGCCTGCTCACTCCTTCCTGGAGAGCCCTGGGGCCCACCCCCAGAGTCCTCCCCCCACGGAGGCAGCAGGAGGGTTAGGATACTGTGGGTCTTCTTAGGGCAAACAAACAAGACTGAAGTGAACCTTAGGACCTGTGTGTGTGTGTGTGTGAGAGAGAGAGAGAGAGAGAGAATGCACTAACTACTGAGAGGGTGCAGGGAGTTTTTCATCTGTCATTGGAGCTGGCTGGCCGGCTGTCCCCAGGGAAAGTAACCAGTAGAGACTTGTGGCACAGGGGCACCGGTGGGGGTGCAGCGGGAGGAATGTGTTCTCCTGGAAGCCGTTTCCTCCCAGAGCAGGCCAATGCTGGTCCCAGCTGGGACTGCTCCCACTGACAGCTGTTTGGGGGCAAAGCCCCTCCCCCATGGCGAGCTCCCTGCTGTTCCTGCTCCTGTCACCTTGGCAACGGGCTTCTTTAGGCTCTACAAATAGAAAAGGTCCCTTTTACCCTGCAAGAGGGTGGGCTGGGGGGGGGTGGGGGAGGAAGGGGCGGAGAGCAGAACCCAAGAGGTGGGGCTTCTCAGAGAGGCCAGGACTGACCGCAGGGCTGAGGAGGGGCGGGCAGTGAGGCCCCTGGTCTGGCCTCCAGGGAAGCTGAGTCCGCAGGGAGCCTGGCCACAGCTCCCCATGGGAGGCGTGGTCCTTGGAGTCCTCGTTCTAGTGGATAAACTCAAGGCCTTGGGTGCACACTCAGGCACAAAGGTGAGGAGAGAGCTGCTAGCCAGGAGGGAGGTGCTGAGAGGAAACAAGCCGGGGCGTGGAAGTCTGGGCCCTTTCACAGGCCCGTGCTCCAGGGGCCAGGCCTTCGCTCCGCCTGTCCCTCCTCGGGCCTGGGGAGCAGAGCGGACTCTGGGGAAGGCCTGCCACACTGCGGCTTTGTGTGTCACAGAGGGGCTTTGTGTCCGGGAGCGGTGGCTGCTGCCTGTGGTAGGCTGGACTGCCCACGCCTGCCGACTCTGGGACTCTCGGGTTCCACGTGACCCTCCCAGAGCGGCGGCCACGCTATGGGGTGGACACACTTTTCCTTAGAGAATCCAGTAAAAGCCACATATACAGGTGGCCCCTTGTTTCCCTGAGCCAAAGTACTCTGATGGAAAACTCATGCAACTGGCCATGAAAGTCACTTCAGCTCTCACTGTAGTGCCCATTTTTGTTCAGGGAGAACTTCCTGTATTAGGGGAAAAAATTCCAGAGAGTACTAGTGGAGGTGGGTGTGTGTGAGACAGACGGAGACAGACAGAGAAAGGGAATTTACTGTGATGCACAAAGGACTTTGGAAATGTTACATATTCCTTCTTCCTGAAATTTGTAGCCCTAGGCCCCTATTACATCACGTCCATAGTTCCTGCCAGCTAGTAATCGTAATAATTGTAATAACTGCCAGCTAATGGACGCCCATGTTCCAGGTACGGTCCTAACTGCCTTACCTACCGCCATATCTCATTTAATCCTAGCAAGGATCATACATTTCTCTAACGGAGAGGATAGGCTGGCTCAGAAAAAAAAAATCATTAACTGTCATCCCCGAAGGGTTTTCCTCTGTTTCTTGAATTGTTTAGTTCAGCTCAACAAATTCTCATTTAGCACCTATTATGTGTCAGACATAACGTTCACCATATGGGAGTTGCCCCATGAACAAGAGTTTCACTTCTAATAGGGGTGGTGGAAGCTGGAGCTGTGCCTTGAAAAATGAGCAGGTTTCAAGAACGGCACAGAAGGAGGATTATTCCAGCAGGCGCGGGGGCCGCCCGGCCCTGTGAGTGCGTGTGAGCCCGTGTGGGTGTGTCCACACGTTCGCCTGTGGCCGTCTGCTGGAGGCGGGCGCTGCTACCCCTTCCTGTCCCCGGCCCCGTGTCGTCAGCTGCGGGCTCCCAAAATATTCAGACCCCACCCTGGCGTTTTGCTCCCACACTCAGCCCTAAGCGAACTTGTCTCTGCCTGCCTTGTAGACACGGCCACCTGCCCACAGGTGACTTCCCATGCATTCGCCAGCCCCTCGCCCCACAGGTTTCCAACTGTTTATAGGTATCACCCCTCTGAACACATCTTATAAAAGCTTAGAGAGTTCACAAACAAAACCCCAGAGTTGCCTCCTGTGGCCAGGTCCTGGCCACTGCCCACAGGTGCGAGGCCCTCCTGGACCCCAGGCTCACAGTCTCAGGGCAATTTTGATTTCCTTTTCCTTCAGCAGGGGCCAGAGTGATCTCATGGAAAAGGCACAGGCTCCCAGCTAGACCTGGTTTCAGACCCCAGCTCCATCACTTAGTAGTTTTATGACCATCATCAAGTTACTTAATCTCTGTAAACCTCAATTTCCTCATCTATAAAACAAAGATGATTATGTTTACCACAGGCTGTAAAGATGAATGAGCTGGCCAGGCAGAGCAGGCTCTCGTGGAGATGAGTCCCTTCCCGCCTGTCCCCACCCTGCAGCCCGCCCCACTTATCACTGGTTCTGAGGCGCCTTCCCCTTTGCTCCCTGCCCTGCTCAAGATCTGCTGACTGTGGGAGGCTTAACTGATGGCCAGGATGGCCACCTCACAGCCTCAGAATCCTCCTCAGACACACTCTGATTTAGAGACCCACTGCCTTGATTCCTAGTTGCAGTGACTGGCCTCTGGGAGGGCTCCCAGGGCAGCACCTCAAGGACGTCTGTCCACGAACCCCATCTCTGGGCCCCCCTACCCCCTGCCCCCACCCCACCATAGGCCATTGAACCACAGCAATTGCTCATGGCTTCCTCACACAGACGCTCTGCCTCTTCTCCCCCATCTGCCCCTTTGTGACTGACTTGGTCCTTCATGCTTCTGTCTCCCCACCTCCTGGCATAGCCACCAGTCTTATCTCCTCCAAGATCACCTCTGAAGTTCCCAACAGCCTCCAGCTAATGGTCGGAGACTGGCTGCCCTGGCTTATTCACCTGCCCATCGGCGTTTCTGAGCGTTTGCTATGCGCAGGGCACCAGAGGCTGCCTCCTCAGTTGAATGAAGTCAGCTTCCCCCAGCCCGCTGCACCAGAACTCAGAAGCTGCTGGCGCGGCTTCCCTGTGCAGGGAGAGCACTACCCACTAGCTGCACCAGCTTCCTGTGAGCAATCAGTGAAGTTCAACTCAGGGACATGCTTTGAGAACTTCAAAGCAACATAAAAGAAACAGGTGGTATTTGGGGGAGAACTTCCATTTGTTGAGCTTCTCTAATACGTGAGCAAAGGCAGGGACCCCCTTTGTGGTTCACATGTAATACTCCACTTGATACTAACAAGTGCTCTCTTTGGTATCGATCACCATTTACAGACTAGGAAAGCAAGACTCAGTAATGTGTCTGAGTTCGCACAGCCCATATGTAGGTGGCAGAACCGAGACTCAAAGCCCAGCTCTGTCCGACTCTAAAGCTCCTGCCTTTATCGTTGAGGTAAAGTGATGTTATGACAATATTTGAGAACAGCTTTGATTTTAAAAACTCAGTTATTAAATTAACGTCGCCTTCAAATGAATGCCCTAAAAGACTAAACTGCATGTGGTAAATGATGGATTTCAAACACAAATGCCCATCTCTTACTGTAATTTGACTACTCTAAAATGATAAATAATTTTCACTTGCAAATCAAAATAAAACCTATGCCTTTAACCCCCGTATGCTACAGTCCCACCTCATCTTCCAGCACTGAGGTAGGGGCAGAGATGGAGAACCAGTTGTCTTTGAATACCTTCAGCTGCCTTCTAAGGAATCATGGTCACAGAGGACACTTGATGCTGTCCAAATGGCAGCAGAGCAGCCCAGGGCATTAAATCAATTAGACCCCGGTAGAAAGCTGCGGCTGCTGCTGCTGGCGACCCCGCTGTTACAACCTAGCATCCTCTCCCAGGGCAACTTCCCTAGCCCTGCTCCCCTCCCAGTGCTCAGCCCTCACCCTGGAGGCACTGCTCACAGGAAAGTCATGTAGCCACCACTTCAGGGTGCTCCCTGCATGCACCCCCACAGTACCTGCTCCCCGGGGGGCTGTTCCCTCTGTGACCTTCCTGACTTTAATGGTGGTGAACTCTTCTTCCTTTGGGAGACCTCCTTGCACCCCTTCCCAAGCTGAGTCGACCCCCCCTTTCCTACATTCTCAAGCTTCTGTGCTTTGCTCCTAGATCAAATTTACCAAGAGGGTCTGTTTACCATCTGTCTCTTTTCGGGCTGGCACCTATCGCGGGGGCATGTTTTTGTCAGTGAGTATGATGTCAGGCCTAGGCTAGTACTTGGTCTGCAGGAGTGTTTAGCGATGTGTGTGGAGTGAATGGAGCTTATTTCTTCTCTCCACCTTGAAGAGGAGTGGCTAGTAGAGGATGCCATTCCTGTTGCCAGCATCCTCTTGCTGTTAGGCCAGAGAATGCCAAACTCTAGCGATTAGAGCAGGCTCCTAGGAAGTGAAGCATATAAACAGGCTTGTAACCAATGCTTATGCTTTATATACTTCGGTCCAAGAGTCCCGGCTCTCTGGCATAGTGAGTAGTTTTTGAAACCTTGAAATCCATGCTGGGAGCAGATGTGGTCAAAGGGTCGTGCCAGTAATGCCTCACACTCAGCACCCCCGAGTGGGGTGGGGAACCTTCATCTTCCTTTTGCTGACAGCCAACTGGTAGAGAGCCTTGAGTTGGTCTCTTCTGAGCTGTTCAAGGTTAGAGCACCAGCCGGGACAATAAGCACTGCCTTTGAGCTAGGTCCTAATTGGAGGCCCCATACCTGCCTCTCCTCTGCCCCCTAACAGGAGAGGCTGACGGGGTTTCCAAGGCTGTCGTCGAGCCCCTGCAGCCAACCCCTTCTTCCTGAGAAGCAGTGAACTTTCTAGCCACAGGAGACAAGGAGTCAAAATGGGTGCCAGGAGGAATGAAGCTACTAGACACTAGGGAAAAAATAAGAAAGGTCCAGAGAGATTGCTGTGTGGGGCCCCGCCTAGCTATAGGGAAGAGGGACACGGCCTCTTCTGCTGTCATGACTTCAGAGGGAAAAGCCTCTTTCACCACCCAAACTGAGCAGCGAGGGCATGAGAGGGAGGGAGAATTCAGCCATCTTACCAGACCAGACAGTCACGGAGCATCTACAAACATTTTGGTATTCTGTGGGACAATGTGGAAGGATAAAAACCTTCCAGTTGAATTAAAGCTCATCTTTTAAGTTTAAAAAGGCAAACAGACATGTCTGATTTCCTAAAGCCTCGTCTAGTGCAGTAGTCTAGTTAGATAGGAAATCTCTTACTTAATTTAATCTAAAACACCACTGATTGTAAGATGCACCCTTATTTTATTTTCTCTAAGAAAATAGCACGTTGCCAATTAAATGGACACCATCAACTGCCATTCAAAAGATGTTAAAATGCTGGGAGTGGGGAAGGACTGAGAATCAATGAAATACATAAGATAACATATGAGAAAGCAAACATGAGTTGAACAAAAAGAAAAGCACTCAGAGAGAGCAGGAGCTGGGCTGAGCCCAAAGAAGTGCAAGCCTCGGCTCACTGAAGCAGAAGGGAACTGACCCCCAAGGCATGGAGGCCTCTGCTCTGTTGTGGATGAGCAGGCAGGTAGGGTGGGTTGAAGGCTAGCGCTAGAAGGGAGCTGAGGCTAGACAGGTGCAGAGTCTTCGGTAAACCAGGGTGTTCGTAAACATGTCACCCCCATGTCCTCCATGTCCTCACTCTGAAGAGTGAATATCTTCGGAGGTGGGACAGACATGCTGGAGGCCCACTAAGTTTGACAAGTCATCAGTACTAACTGTACAACAATTTCAGCTAGTCTAGCCTCACACCAAACTAGCCTGGATGGCCCTAGACAGGGAGGAGTGGTTGACCAAAATCACTTATAAAGACACAGAGGGACAGCGGTCATGTAACTTGCCCAGGGTCACACTGGTAAATGGCAAAGCTAGGGCTCAAATCCAAGCATGTTGACCCAAGAGCCTGCTCTCACCTGCTGAACACACCACATCTCTGGGGACCAGGCAAAGCAGAGAAGTCTTGGGGTAGAGAAGGGATTTGTCTGCTGGAAGGGTCTGGAAAGGAGGACTGGGATTTGACTTGTGGCACTCTAGACCATCAGAGACAAGGCATAAACCCCATACAGGGGGCAGTGATCAGTAAAGATTGCTTGGATCTAAGAAATTAAAATTACAAGGTTAGTTTATGTTGTCAAGAGAGCTTGAGCAGAGCAGCAGTGGCTTCAGATGCTGCAAAGGCAAGTCCCTGGTGGCCTAATCAGGAGTCAGTGCACTAGGAAGTTAATTTGCAGTCTGTAAGATAGATTATAGAGAAGAAACTCAAATCAGAAAGACCAATGGGAAAGTTACTGCAATACTTAAAAGGACTTTAACCCAGGGTAATGGTGGAATTAAATCATGTTCTTAGCTTTGTATTAACCTCAAAAGGTTAAGCATATACACTCTCTCCACCCCCAAATACCTTGGGGTCTTTGATCTGTGAACTTCATCTAAGCCCTCCTGAGCTTGTTTTCAGCCTAGGTATATACTAGCATCTGTTCTAGAAGAGTCTTTGATTTTCCACAGTGGCACAGGGTGAGGGAGGCAGTGGGTTAGGAGGGGAGTGCCGGGGTAAAGGGCCAGAGGACAGAGGTTGCCTTTGCCAATGGCGGTCAACATGTGTGCCATCCCTAATGATGTGTTTAATGTGCTATAGATTTAGTGCCTTTTCCCTCTCTCACCTTTCTTCCACCATACAAATCCAGAATTGTAAACTGTGTTCAGTGGCAGCCACCCGTGATTATAGAGCTGAAGGAGACAGGTGGTCACCTCATCACAGACAAAGCCCTGAGACAGGAAAGGTTCCGCCCAGGCCACTCACAGCTCCGGGAGTGGTGGGTTGTGCCGGGTTGTGCCCTGGCCCTCCCGGCTCCTGGCCTGCACTGTCACCAGCTCTCCTCTCGGATGGGAAGCCGCTTGGCAACTCCGTGCCCAGGGCAGGGATTTGTGATTTTGTGTTAAGGGAGAAAAGGGCCTGCTTGCATTTTTGGCAGTGATGTCCACTGCCCTGCAGGCCCTTTGGCCACTGGCGCCTACCTAGGGCCTCCTGCACCTCATAGGCATCAGCCATCTGGAAATTTCCTGACTGTTACGTTGGCCTGATTAACCATCTCGCTGATGGTTATGTTCAGCTATTCAGTGTGGAATTAGGAGACAAGGCTTAGGCTATCTCAGGAGTCAGTTATAATACCTACATGGGGGCTGGCAGTTTCCACCTGGACACTCCTCCATCACCTCAAACCCAACACGTTCTTCGAAGCCACACTGCCATCGATGTCCCCTCCCCACTGGTCACTGTCACCCAGCCTGCCGTTTGGGTTCCCACCTGCCAGCGTCAGCCACCAAGAACCCTGTGTTTCTCCTTGCCATTTCTCATTTCTCCTCTGCCATCCCCACTGGCCTGCCGGAACTCCACATGGAGTTGTGCTGACGTAGTTGGAAACACGTGTGTAAAAGGTCAAGAACATCCCTAACTGAGCTTGAATTCTGCTTACTCTGTACCTGTAAGCATCACAGGACCCCTTTTCCATGCTAGCCCAGGACCCACAGTTTGCCTTTCTCCATGCTGACTGGGAGCCTTGGTGCAAGTCCAGAGCAGCTCTGCCTGCCCTCTGGCTTCTTTCAGGCAAAACCATCTCAGCTGGTCTGCCGCACACTCAGCTACCCCGATGACCCTGAGCCAGGGAGGGCTGAGTGTCCTCCATCTCTGAGCTGACATTCCTGAACCCCAACTGCATTGGGCTCCGAAGGGTAGCCCCACACTCATGTTTCCGCACAGGAAGATGGCAAGAAAGGGAGAGATTTGGGCCATGGGAATGACCAGGCCAGGCTCTTGGAGAAAGGTTAAAGCAAGAAACACTGAACTCAGAAGTGGCTGTGGGTGGGGCACAGTTGGTGTAGCAGGAGAGGCAGTCAAGCCGCGCCCTGACCTGGTCTTTCCCTTTCAGCCTATGCTCAACTCCAGCCTCACCAGCTCCTCACACAGCCGTCCTCAAAGCACCTGCAGCCCCAGTTTGTGATCCAGCAGCAGCCACAGCAGCCACAGCCACCACTCCAGCAGTCACGGCCGGCACCCCAAGCCCAGGCCCACCCCCAGCTTCCCTCAGTCGCTCCGAGCTCAGCCCTGCAGCCCAGCTCTGAAGCCCACGCCATGCCGCTAGGCCCGGTTGCGTCCACCCTACCCCTCCAGTGCCCCACTGCCAGTCTGCACAAGCCTGGCAGCTCTCAGCAGTGTCACCCTCCTGCACCAGACACTGGGCCTCACAATGGCTATGCCGAGGGCCTGTCCCACGCCCCCCAGCGCAGGTTCCAGCATGCCTCAGCTGTCATCCTACAACTGCAGCCTGCCTCTCCAGTGGTAAGCCGAGCCCCGGACTCAGGAGCAAATGGAATGGGCACAGCACAGGACACCCCACAACCCCATTCGGGAGTGTTTCTGGGTGGCTGAGCATTGACATTCTCTCTTGGGTATTATAAGGAACCTCTCCCTAATTTGGGGTCAACTGAACCTTAAAGGTCCTTGACAGCTACCCAAGCTCCATGGAAACAAGGGAAAGTGTTTGAGAATGTAGAGGCAATTCATGAGGTCAACTCTGTCCTGTCTCTTAACAGCCCCAGCCGTGTACCCCAGAGGACTGGAAGGAAGTGGTACCTGGCAACAAGGGGGTGCCTGAGACACGGAGTGGCCCCTCACCACATCAGCAGGCCATCATCACTGCCATGCCTGGAGGCCTGCCTGTAGCCAAGAGCCCTAACATTCAGCAGCCCCCCGCTCACGGTATGAAGCGCAGTGCGGCCGGGGGAGGGATGTGGAGCATGTCAGCCTTCCTTGCCTCCCCTGACACATTTCACTCAGGAAACTAGGTCTGGGGGAGCATGGGGGTGGGGAGCGGTGGTGAACTGCTGCAGCCCTGAGAGAAAGCAGAGAAAGAAGGTGGGGGCTAGAGGGGTAGAACACAAGGGGAAAATGAACCAAGGATTTTCAAAAAGGGGACCCAGAAGATTTAAGAGTAAGGATAAAGAAACAGAGTTGGCATAACTCGATCCTGACTCTGGAGCCTACATGTCATCTCTGTCAGCTTGAGAGTCCAGGCAGGCATCCCTTGGGTCAGTTCTCTGCCTGATTCCTACAAGGGGAAGTTCTTGCCACTGGGAAATGCCTACGGGGCTGAATGAGCCTCAGAATGAGTGCAGCTCATGGAAAGCATGGTTGTAGAAACTGTGCTCCCCTGGGGCACATCTCTCTGTCTGTGAGTTCCCAATCCAAGTGTCTTTTCCGTGACCCGGGTTTCAGGAGGATCACCCAGGCCGCTGCCTCTGTGCACGCCCCTGTGCCAGTATGTGAGAGTATTGGCCCAGACCAGACAGCAGTAATATTTGGGGCTGCTCACAACTCAAGGAAGCTGTTTTAGTCATGGGCTAAGTGTGCTGGGAGTGTGTGGGAGAGTCCAGGAGGAGAGTTTGGAAACTGAAGAAGGAGAAATAAGAAGGGAAAGACTTTGGGAAAAAGTCAGGGGTGGGGGTAGGAAGTGGAGATGAAAACTTTCCCGTAAGGATGGGGTCAAAGAAAGGGGAAAAGTACAGAGAAAAGAACATTTAACAAAGGTCACCCTTTCCCTCGATTCGTTTAGAATGAAAAGGGGCTCGTCATTTGAAAAGAACCCCATCCCACTATGAAGCTTTTCTGGTTATCAGGTTTTTCTCCAAATTAAGTCAAACTCTGCCCTCCTGGAACTCCCACCACTGGTTAGGGTCCTGCCCTGTGAATTACAGCTGCGTTTGGGCCCACAGCTCTGTCCCCTGAGTTGTCAGTCTTCTGGTAACTGCTGTCACTCCAGTTTCAGGCCTCCTCGGTCTCAAATTTGTACAGTTTATACATTGAGCCAAAATATGCGGATGTCCACCAAACGTTTGCTTGTGAGTTTAACCCATAGTTCCTCCTAGCCAGAAGATGGTAATAGTTAATAGCTAACATCCCAGAGTGCTCTCTGCCAGGCGTTTCATCTAATTTCTCAATCTTAACGGTAGCCCTCTGGAGGAAGAACTGTAATTACCCCCATTTTGAAGATCAGAAGGTTGAGGCTGAGTAATGAGGAGGGAATGTTTTACATCTGAGTGTCATTATGTGTTATCCCAAGTCCTCTGCTTAACTTTGCCACCTGTACGTTATATAGCATGTTCTGTCTTTAGCCAATTTGCCAATAGAAATCCTGAATAGGACCTGACTGAGGACACATACCTGTCTGCAGGTTGATGATAATCCACATCTTGCTCAAGTATTTGTTAGCCAAACATCCCTTCATGAACTGACTTTTGCCGACCTTTCTCCATCTTGTCTAAAAGCCTCTCAAAAATCTCTTTCTGAAATCTAGTCAAGATGATAAACACCTGACAAGCCTCCTGCTCCTGAATTCCCCTCTCTTGAGAGAAGTAAGCTTTGCAGAGTGGAAACAATTATCAATCACTCAAGACTTAGTCATGCATTCTACATATATGTCTTGCTTTGTGCAGAGCGCAGTGGGAGGTAATGCCTAGAGAAATGAGCTATACCCTCCTCCAAGCTGAGTAAGTTCTGCTGGGAAAAAATTAAAATGGGAGAAATACGATAGAAAAATTATAAGTAAGTGCTTTAAGAGTTAAAAGGCAGAAGTTACTACCAACTACAGATTACCAGAATAGTTTTTAGGGTGGAAGTAACAGTGTTCTAGAACAGCGCTCGGCAGACTACACTGATGTGACCAAATCATCACATCACCGGTTTTTGTACACTCTGCTAAGCTAATCACGGTTTTACATTTGAAACATCAAAAGAAAAATATTTCACAAGCCTGAAAACTCGATGAAATTCACATTCCAGTCTCCATACATAAAATTTCATTGGAACGCAATCACACTCATGAATGTTCTGACTGTGGTGGCTTTGGTGCTGCAAAGCAGACATACATGCTTGCATGGAACCCTACAGCATGGGAAGCTAAAACATGCCTTGTCTGGTCCCTCTCAGAAAAGGCTTGCCCACCGCTGTTCCTGAGTCTAGGCCACCATGGCTATGCAGGACCAGGCCATGCTGACTCCAGAGAGCTCATTCCAGGAGGGACTCAGTGGACATCAAGGCAGGGAAGCAGGCTGTCAAGTTTGGAGAACAGAAAATAGAGCATTCAATCTCATGTTACCTTCATTTATAAAACATACTGTCAGTGTATGAAATGCAAAAGAAGGGAAATATGAATATCAATGAAAGAGGGCTCAGAAATGTTGAATAATAATAATAGAGGGGGAAGAAAGGGAAAGGGAACAAAGTAAACAACCAGGGGTGTAAAATGTAAAACGTGGGAGTAAAAAAAAAGGGGGGGTGGGGATGGAGCCAGCCAGAAGAGTAGAATGTGACTATTAAGAAAGAAAATGGGGCATGTTGGGAGCAGAGACCAGGCATGGAGAAACTCGTGTGGCCCGTCTGTTTCTGCAGCCGTTGGCGCGTGAAGGACTCGCGAGTCATGTTGTACATCTTTCATGTCCACTGCAGTTCCTTGCATGGCTCCTAAATGGATGTGCTTCGTGATAATTCTGTTCAAGCCAGTCGGGTTGAGAAAGGGAAGTAACATTTATTGGGTCCAACCTGTGCGAGGCACTGAGTGCGTAAGAAATTCCTCATTTAACCTCCCAGTCAGCCAGAGTAGGCACTACCCGCGTTTATGGAGGTGTAACTGGGTCACTTTGGCCATTACTTAACCTCTCTGATCCTTAGTTCCCAGGGGGAGGATAACGACCACTTGTAGGGTTATTGTGAACAGCAAGCGCGAGCGTCTGCACGTAGGGCTTGACACGTATTAAGCACTCAATTACCGCGACCCATTATTACTGTCTCTGAATTGGCCGAGGTGGGAGCCGCAGCCCGCCACGCCACGGGGGAATCTCTGGCCGGGAGACGGCGAAGGGCCACGGGGCGGGGAGCCGGGCTCCCTAACCCGAAACCCCGCGGTCCCTAACCGGCCGGGTCCCGCGGCGCCTTCCGGCGGGGGCGGCGAGGACTGGGCGGCGCGGCCGC